TGCCTGTCTATTTATCTATCTATCTATCTATCTATATATATATATATATATATATCCACACTTCTAAACATACATACACACACACATGCATTTCTCGCCCCCTCTGAATTTCTAGTTCCCTCCTGAAAACGCATGGGGCGAGGTGACGATGAAAGTGGAGGGCACAGGGCGCCTCCTTCTACAGATGGACGTAGAAGTTAATGTAGAGCATAAAAATTTACAAAAGACCCCCAGAAACCCAGTGAACGCTGAAGAACTCATGTCCAGTTTCGAAGTCGTGTGTGAGCCACGGTACGCTGGAAGAAACAGCTCAATAATGATCATGACCGTCTGTGGTCGCTGGGTCGGGGACATGGTAAGACTTGCTAAAATTAAAAAATTGGTCCACTTTTCATCCCAATTCTTGAATTGTTTTAGACGGCAACTTCGTCATTGTCAGCGTTGGTTTACACTCTGAATCTTCAATAATTAGGGCAAAGATGGGTTTTTTATTAATCAGATTGTTGATGAATTGGCTAATTAGTGTGTTCGTAAACAGCGCCAAGCCCTCATTAGCTTGTACATTGTTGACATATCGGGTCTTGTTACTGTGCTTTACTTACCTTAAACAACCTTTTTCTAGAGTTTTTAGTTCATCCCCTATGACTCTTAAGTTAACTTTTCAAGTTACGAGTCTCTAGATAAAGGAGTAAACGCTTGTTATCACTAACACCCATCAGTAGATGATGTTTTCTCCAATTGCCTTAGTGGATAAGCTGTGTAACTGTGAGTCTTACTATTAATTTATATGGTAAGTGAAGGGAATTCTTGGTTTTCGTTATTAATTTCACGTTATCAAACATCTCAAACGGCGTTCGCATACAGTTTGACTTCGTCTGTGCTTTGTAACTGGACAAAATCTAACAATAGAATATTTACGACTAGTAGGTCTCGACAGCAGTTGGGCTTCCGATAGCCTTAAAATAAAGGCACACAAATAAGTAGTTAATAAGTAGCTTTTAAGAGCTACCGGTAGATCACATAGATTAGATGTATTCACACTATTTCGTTAAGGTGTTAATGACTGAAAGTAAAATTTCCCCTCTTTTATATGAATAGGCCTTGCTTTCCAAAAGGTCAAAACAGCAGTCCACTACTGCCTGAATAGGAATACCATTTGGGAAGCAAGATTGTGTGAAATCACTGGAAACTTAGAGCTCATTCTTATTAATGCGGGAAAATTCAACTACCAGTCCTTCATCATCTTAACA